GCAGTTTGAATGAGAGCTCGAGTAGTGCAAAGAGGATTCCGTCTCGATTATTGTCAGTGTTAAGAAAATCCATCCTTTAAACTACTGTAGTTAGCACAAAAATGGAGGTGACTTTAGAGCAATTAAGCCACTTCAAATTGCCCCTGAACTGAAAACGCTGGAAATCGCATTTCAGAGGCCCTAAAATTAAAACTTTTCCGGGGGAGCATGCTCCCGGACCCCCCTAGGGGCTACCGCCTTCGGCGAGCGTTTATCCGAAGCCCCCTTCGTCAAATCCTGGATCCGCCCCAGAGTTGACCCGGCAGGGCGAGTCAAAGTGTTTATACGAAGAAATATTTTTTTTGCTAGAGGGGTGACCTTGCTAGGTGCATCAACTTTCTAGGCCGAGCCAACTTGGGGCAGGCAAGTGACTCTTCTACTCTGGACAGGTTTTCGCCATATAAACGGGACCTAAGTTCCCAGCTAGCAGAGGTTTTCCACGACGAGGCCTCGTCGTAAGAGACCTCTGCTAGCAGGGAAGGTCCTAAGAGTCTTCAAATGATATCGAAAGCCTTCTTATACTTTTACTATATCATCTTTAATATTTCATGCCTATATATATATGTGAGACTCGCTATCACTGCAAATCACCGTTCTCCAGTTTCGCTCAGTTTACCGCGTTATGGGAGTGTAACTAAGTTGACGGTGTCAAAATTGTATAACATGTACATGAGCAAAATAAGGGAGTACGAAACGCAAACCTCAGTTGACACGAAACTCTGCATAACAAGATCACCCAGCGTCTTCAAAGAAAGAGAGGTGGTCTCTTCATTCTTAGGAACGGTACTTGTACTGTGACAGCACAGCGAGCACCTTGTTTCCAGGGTCCTCTCCTATTGCTGAGAACGGGTTTGGAGGTATGCAAGCTTCATAGGTATGTAATAAACTTTAAAAAAACAACTGTTTAGTTTTGCAATCACCCTTTTTTTATTTACTTTGTATTCCTCAGTAAACAGCAGCAGGGGCCCAACTTGACATTGACCGAACGATTAGACTTACTGTTTACAAAGCCTCACTACGATCCAAGACTCAGGCTTAACTTCAACCGTAAGCTAATGTTTTCCTGGGGATTTCCAAAGAACAGAATAATACAGTTATTATTAATTATATTTCATACTCTTGCACGTTAAACAATGATTTCCAGTCATTGATTTAGAATAAAAAGGGCCGCTTCTAACGTCTGGGCTTGCGACCATTTTGGTGTTACGTCTGTGTTGAAGGACATGGATACACCTCGTTAGCGCGAAGTTCACACAGGATCAGTGGTTCATCATTCAGAATCATTTCTTCACACTTTAATTAACTGAAGTACTTTCTATGTGATACAAACTTATTTGCTTTATTCAGACAAACCGGTGATCGTGACAGTAGGATTCTGGGTTCTGTCAATCGATGCGATAAATGTGATGCATATGGTAAGAAAAAAATGTCTTTGAAAAACTAAGGGTACTATGCTTATTAAAGAAATTGCCGAAAAGGAGTGATGAGAAAATTAACAGCTGTTCGTTATTTTTACCCAATAGACTGACAGCCGCTGTAGAACACACGAGTAATCCTTAAGTTTTCTAGCCTGCGACCGCAGACGTATTTCCGATCGTCGCTTCTCACCCCGCTCCGAAATAGAGAAGCGACGACCGGAAATACGTCTGCGATCGCAGGCTAGAAGTTTTCTTCAGGGATGGTATAAGTAGACCCAACGAAAAAGACAAGCGCTACGTTGAAAATCTCCCCCGTGCTCTCGTGTATTGGCTACTAGCGGACTCGGTCAGTGTGCTGTGGAATCAATTAAATAATTGATTAGCTCGTCGTTTCTTCCTTCATTTTCTTAAAAATAATTGGCCCTCAACTCTTAACAGGAGTTCGGGATAGACATTTTCCTTCGTCAATCTTGGTTTGACCCGCGACTTGACCACGGTCTTCAAGGTACTCTATCTCTAAGCAACACGGTGCTTTCTCATACATGGCTGCCCGACAGTTATTTCAAAAACGCAAAGAAAGCAAGCTTCCACGACGTCACCACACCGAATATTATGATTTCCATTGGTCCTGGGGGCTTGGTACATTACAATGCAAGGTAAGGCTAGTCAGCTACCGACCGATAGAGAAGGGGAAATAAGCTGTATATATCATAACAAGGGGTGTGTGATTTATGGTTTAATCAAATAGTAAATCACTAAACCAGTGAGAAAAAGTGATCTGAAATAAGGTGTAATTCATTAATAAACCATAATGGGGGATACACGAAAACGGCTCTCAAACAGTCAGGCAAAATTCAAACATCCCCTGCAGCATGAAAATCGCCCAGATACTGATACAGAGTACTCCTACGTAACTAGTTTATTTTGTCAAATTTACAGTATATACGTAAGCAATCAGCAGTGCAGATTGGTCAATTCTGAATTTAGTAGTTATTGACCGTCTATGAACAACCAGAACAACGAATTTAAGTTTTGATCGCAGTTTGTAACAGAAAAAATATTAAAGTCTCGATTTTAGAAGCCAGTACTGAGTCAATTATATTTCGTGGCGTTTAGGATCTGGTTTCCCTAATCATCGACCAATGGCCGTTAAGTTCGTGAATTTAGTATTTTACACAAAAATATTGGTTTCTCTTCGTAAATCACGATATAATAAATAACTTACGAACCTCGCTTTCAAGTTCCTTACTGAAGTGTACGGAATCTTTTTTCCCTCTCAGATTTGGGCCTGGCCTCGGAAAAAACTTAGTCTATAACTTATTGTAAATTGTGGTGCTAGTAAGTGTAACTGTAAAGTAATAAACAATTTTTTTTATTTTCCTGCATGCATTGACTTTTATTTTTCTTCAGAGTTACTCTGAAAGCTTCTTGTCCCATGGATTTACGCCTTTATCCTATGGACGTGCAGGAATGCCCATTGATTATTGAAAGTTGTAAGTTGCAGTTTATAGTAGGGAGCTTAAACAGTGAAGACGACGAGGGCAGTAAAAATGTTGGACGAAAAAAACTGTTGGACGGAAAAGGTCCATTTGACGATAACGTTTTCAAAAATCCGGCCATACTACTAGCACTACGCTCTGTAAGGGATGCAAATCGTATTTCTTTCGTTTCAGCGTTTTCGTGTGGACGGACAAAACAATTCGAATAAGCTACTTGTGGATGCGTTATTATTATTATATTTTTGAAAACCGAGAAAAATGTCTCCCCTTTGAAAAAATACCCGGGTACGTGTGCACT